TCTCTCTCTCTCTCTCTCTCTCTCTCTCTCTCTCTCTCTCTCTCTCTCTCTTTCTCCCTGTCTCTTTCTCTCTCTCTCTCCCCCCTCTCGGTCTCTCTCGTCGTCGCAAACAACTGCAAGAGGCAAGAGGCAGTGGCGTCGCAAACAACTGCAAGAGGCAAGAGGCAGTGGCGTATTGCATATAGTACGATTGAACCAACCGTTACGAATCCCACCTGGAAACATATTGAACTCCTGCCCACCTGTGACAAAAAAAAAAATGTGTGTCCGGCGCGCGTCTCAACATCATCAGCTCAACACCAGAAAGAGCAGACACGTTCGCAGCCAGGAGAACGAACAGTGAACGGCAGCCTGTCAACTTCACTTCACGTCGAACTCATGAAGTCCTCTTTGGTATTGATCTGCGCTGCCGCCCTCTCCCTGTCCAATGGCGTGAACGGCTTCTTCGTGCCGGCCGCTGGGAGCCTGGTCGGTGGAGCGTCCTCCGCCTCTCGTGCGTCCCACAGCATCAGCATGAGTAGCATCGCTCACGGCGCCCGGTGCTCATGCGCCTCCTGCGCTGGTGTCCACGGGAGATCGTGCACCTGCCCCTCGTGCTCGTCGACGGGAGTCTCCAGGCGGTCCTGCAGCGCCGGTTGCCGTTGTGCCGGTTGCTCAGTGCGCATGAAGGCGCACCGCGACGGTGAGGACACCACCTCGCCTGGGGGGCATAGGGCTTCGTGCGAGTGCCCCGATTGCGGCGTCCTCAAGAGCCTCTCCAGAAGCAGGCGGGGAGCTTCTTCCGTCACGGTGATGAGCATGGGAGGAGGAGAGGGAGATCGGGCGCTGAGGCAAAGGCTGGTGGATGAGCCCGAGTCGGTACAATTTGAGGACACCATGGCGGCGATCGCGGAAGGCTTCGACTACGTGCCTAAGCGGTGAGAACAGGACAGGCAGTAGCAGCAACAGCAGTGTCTAGCTGTGGGCAACGTCTGCTTTGAGAGTACTAGGGCACGCGTGAAGGAGGAGCAGGTGCAACGTGTGACTTTGTCTTGCGGTTGAAGATGCTGCCCGGTTTCCTATGCATACGCTGCTGCACCGTCCGTGTCTTCCGTCCGCATGTCCGCAAGCGATTATGTACCGGAGCCGTGCCCATGTTGAACGTTCTGTCCCAACCCCATCGCAACTGTGGGCAGCATGTTGCAGATTTTGTCGTGGCAGCTAACGGTTCCCCACAGCGGGGCTTGCCAGCCTCCATCAAACACCAAACACGCCAATGGATTCCATACGTGTGCCCAAGAATCCATACGTGTCAGACGGGATCTATACGCGTGAGACGGTATCTGTACGTCAGATGAAACAAAAAAAACAAAACAGGTGCGCGCATGGCGCATGAAGTGTTTGTGCGTGTGATGGCACCACGGTTCCCAAAAATGTGGAGAACGGCATGATTTTATTGCTATTGCGCACCAGTATCGGTGTTAACGCACCCGGTGCCAACGATATTAAACCTGCTTGGGACGTCAATATTTGCGTGCTTCCGCAAGGTACTGGTACCCTGGTACCCTCTGAGCCACGTGTTGAACTGTATGGAAAGCACGGCTGAGGGTCCGGTATGTACCAATTGGGGCGCCAGTCCTTCCATGTACTTTTATGATGTCGTATCGTTGAGGTGTGCGCTTACAGTAAGGATCAAGGTTTTTCTATTGTAATCCGTACATCGAACACAGCACACATCCCGCACCTCCCACCAACCGAACAAGGAGTTGGTAAACAACAGTACTATCATTGTATATGGGTTTGAGGGAGACAAAGGAAGACAGAGGGAAGCACCAGCCAACAGTTGAGGGGCTTGCGACCAACAAGGAGGTTGGAAGAAAAACGATGCCGCACCGTATACCTTTCCCAGCCAGGAACCACAGCGCCTGTTGTCTTTGGCACACGCTACGCCAAACTCGCATCAGCCGCTTCATGTTGAGTACCGTTTCACGCACATAAACGGTAGTCCTACCAGAAAACGCCTTTGCTCGTTTCTTTGAGTATCGCACCTATGGGTGTCATCGCACCGGGGTGTTACTCAGCACCGTGAACTGGCCACTGTGATTTATTCCGTATCGCACCCATCGATGTCATCGCACGGAGGGTGCGTTGGGAAGCTAACAACGAAATTGCTCGGTAGTTGTATCTCCGCACCGTTATCGGTGTTGTGGCACTGGGGAAGGTAAACTATAAAGATAGGTGTGGGGCTTGTGTCTCCTGAACCAACACGCCTCCTTTCATCCCTGTAACGTCCATACGTCAGAGAATCCCTCCGACTGGACGTGAGGACAGCTTGCTCATCGCAAGAGTAGAGAGCTCGTAACTCTCCATCGACTGCGCTCTAGACCAAATCCCATACAGGAATGATTCAAAAACTGGTCGCACCCCGATGCCATCACACGCACATTTACGGTAGGGGAGGATGAAGGGGTGCTTCCGTTTTTGCTTCTCTTTTCTTATCATGACACAACGAAAAACCAAGATAGGAATGATGATGATCAAGAATGGTCGCACCCCGATGCCATAACACGCACATTTACGGTAGGGAAGGATGGAGGGTTGCTTCCGTTTTTCTGATCATGACACAACGAAACTATCTCTATCCACAGAAAAGAGTCTTCGATAGATTTAATATCAATGCGTTTAGAGCGTCAGCGAAGGCGACCAATATTTTTACGATTTCCCATGCAGCATACGGCGATATATTTTCACATTCATTGATCACTTTAAACCACCGCTCACGAAGTGCCTTCTGCTACTGCTGTGCACATTCCTGTTTTGACTCCTGTACTTATTTTGGCAGTGCTCTATCTGTCGTTCGCGAAGGCTCTTAACAACATTGCACACGATTTTCGCACTGTGGCTGCGCGCTCGATTAACACTAGAAGCCTCAGAAGCCTACCGTGTTCTGACGCACCCCTTCCTGGGCGTTCCTCTCTGCACATGACAAGCAACATACATGTTCAAATTTTTTGGAATCAGAACATGCACGTAGGTTCTGGGGTGTTTGTGGTAGTCGCTCCACGCGCGAGGCGGGGACGGGGGGTTGTACTCATAGTCGTGCATGCCGCTGTCGTTAGACCATTGACCTCGCATCCCTACAAAGCCGGGACGGAGCACGCCGGGTTCTCACCGGACNCTGCTAATGGTGTTCGGCATCTTGTGCTTACTTCCTTGCATTCGGATGACAGCTGCGTATGACTTTTTTATTTTCTGGTGCTTCACTTCCAGAGACAGTTGTAAGCACTGTGTAAGTGCCTCGAGGGCGCTTGACCATTTTGGCACAACGTGGCGCGATCATCCCCCTTGCGCGCAGTGAGGGTTCTCGACCCCGCACAACACGATCTACTCGACCACCGTTAGTCTATGGTTACCGCCAAAAAAAAACAGAGGCAAAAAAAGTAATAATAACTTTGTTGGAGGGGGGGGGGGTTCTCATATGTTTTGCATTCCTCAGCGGTTTGACCATTGACCACTCGTCCTCGCGAGGACGAAGCATTGGTTCCACAGGACCGATCACCGATGGCCAATCGTGCCTCCTACTTTGCCAAAGATGGCTCAAAAATGTCTTCTCTAGTCCATCTGTCCTATCGATATCACTTCCGGCCTTTTCAACTCACTTCCTATGCCCCAGTACAGCTACCGTCTTATCCTGGCTATGCCATGCCTTGAAAATTTCCTGTTCTTCCTTCTGCCTCCTCCAGCTCAGTCATGTACACATCCTTCTCCTTGTACAACGAACATTCCGCAACCACATGAACCCGGTCTTCGCAGTCGAGGCCGCATAATATTCCTTCAGCTTTGTCCCTGCATCCATTGGTCAATGTAGGTACTCCTTGAACTCCATTCCTTATTTCAACATTCCGTACACATCTATGCCCTCTCTATCGTTGTTTTTTTTGGTCAGATTCTGTTCTTCTCTCTCGGCAAAAGCAAAGATATATTTCCCATGAAACCCTCTAGACTTCCCACTTGCAGCATTTCCCTTCTTCAATTTCGAACTCGTTCCATACGTCATCTCCAACCTTGACTCACTCCGTGGTTGTCTGGCCGTCTTCTTGTTTGATCACTTCGTTGCGTGGGAGGGGGTAATGACAAGGATTATGGCAGACTGCAAGATTGTTGCGTGACTCACTCGTAATACAATATTCGTCGAAAGACAGAACTGCCCCTTTATATTAATGTGCGAGGGTTACGTGCCCATGCGTAGTCATCCTCTGTTGGTCCTGGCTTCGTCTCTGGGGGCAAGCAAGTCCGTTGCCCGAGCAAGAGCGTCCACGCAGGATGGCACAGCGAGCGTTGTAGGCAGAAAATACACAGAACAAGGCCTGGAATTATGAGGATTGTCGATGTGGACCCAACAACTATGCCGATACATTGGTGCCATTCCATATTTCTTGTTGGCTAGCGTGCCTGTAGCGTACGCTCTATAACGAAAGGATGAATCTGTCCGCTGGGTGTCCTTTAGGCCTTGTTCCCAAAAATCGCCGTGGTCGTGGTAGAGTGTGTTTTTTTTATGTTTTTGAATTTTATCTCATCGCCTCCACCTGCCGACCCCACCTTCATACATGTTTTGTCCAGAATGTTGAATTGCCGTCGCGCTTAACTTGTTTTCCTCCCCCATCTCTTCACCCTATCCGCCGACACCCCCATGAACCTCAGGCTCTGAACTCTGACACGATGCCCGCTGAACGCGCCATCTGTTGCCGTTGCTGCTGTCTTGGGCCGTCTTGGGCGCGTGTCTACCGCAACGACAACATCACAAACGCCCCTAATCCACAATTTTTTGGCGGCGTCCATCTGTATCATACGATGTCGAGGAAAGCTTTGTCAATGGCGAGACATCGAGCGACGCGGGCGCCAACGAGGGAAGCTGCAAGGTGTTTGCCTTTGGCAAGATCGTCGGCCTTTCTCCGGAAGATACCCTGGCCTGTTTTGGCGAGCACTATCGGGGCGTGCTGGCCGACCCGGACGGCGATAGCCACGGCAACATCAGGGCCTTTATGGCGAGCGGGTGGGGCGGTGTCGAGTTCCCTGACGGTTTACCTCTGTCCCCCAAATAGGTGCCAAGTCGAAGATGGTACATATTACAAGAGTGATTTAGTTCTCGTTTCCTATGCTGGGGTTTGGGTTAGTGACGCCGGCAGATGTTGGGGGTGTTAGCAATATCAGAGCCTTTGCTTGCAGTGAGATGGGCCCGGGTCGATTTCCCTACAACTTGCAAATCGGGATTGAAATTCAAAGTAACGTGTTAATACACATACCTCGACATTGGGTCGATGGGCGTTGTTCGTTTGACTTGAAAAACAACCCCATTTACGTGTTTCGTTGGCACTGTTGCTAAGCGGTCTTTCGTGACTCCGTCCGTGGAGCGCGAACCACCATCAAGCCGATCGATCGGTGAATTCCGGTTAGGTCGGCTGCGAATAGATGGACTTTGGGTGGTTGCTGATTGATGTGAAGTATTTTACTGAGGAGCTGGGAATTTTGAGGTTGTCCGAAGATGGCTGATCTCTCCTGTTGTTCCGCTTTCTTTGTACGTTTTTCTTTTTTCGTGTCTAGAGAAACATAAGAGAGCACGTCCGCAGTGGAGTAGTCATCAGTTTCAGGCACGACGATGCCCCGTGCCTACGGTGGTATGCTTTGCTTGTGCGAGATATTGTGGCGTCCAAGCGGGCGCGTTAGTCGCTCGCGGGAGGATTTCCCGCGGGGGCAAAATTTATGGCGCCACCTTCAGGAACTTGGCAAATTTGATGGTGAACCGTTCGATTCTCAAATGTCTGAGTTGTCACCGTTCTTGCGTTTTTTTGCACGTGCATGATGTGCCGCCTGTGGATATTTTCGTGAAGAGCTGCGAGCCTTCCTGCCTCCCGTGAGGGGCGCGGAGGGGGGGGTTTGCTCAGACCTCCATTGATACTCTCAGCAGCCTGTCTGCGTTTGTGAAGAAGGTGGTCTGCGTCGAATCCCTTCGGCGTGCTCTTCTCAGTGAGAATAGATCTACTACAGTACCTTACCACCGCAAGATGGAGCTCGTCACTGCTTGCTGTAATGGGGCAGTTGTTGGCTCCTCAACGGTGCGCAATCTACCGACTGCACAGCTGTACTCGCAGGAAACGGTTACGAAAACATAAATAGTCTAAGACTATATGTGATCCAACACTTGCGACAACCTGTTTTTTGCAGATGCTTTGTTATCGCGTGTAGTAGCCGTCTCTTCAAGTGAAGAATCTAGCAAGGTAACGCGGATGACCTTCCTTCACGACATGCCATGTCAACAGCGGCTGGAGCCGACGTCCGCTGTTGTACTGCAGCAGCACCCAACTCTGTGCGTGTATCCAAGTTTTCTGCCCTTGTTGCTCTGGAACTGCATTCGCTCGGAAGTGCGTTTCTTTGTCACTATTTTTCTCGTGACTCGTCGAATTCGGCTTTGTTAGACGGCGTGGGCCGCAAACTCTGGCACATGTATGGGTGCCCAATGCGTTCGTTATCCAGCCACCCTCTGACTCACTTCATTCCATCCCTGCACATGGGGCTACGCTTTTGTCCAAAGTGCTGAAAAGCTTTATCTAGGAAATTCTATTCCGTTGAGCGGTGGAACTTCGCCACGCCATTTTTTTCATGTGACACGCGGATATTATTTTGTTCCCTTACGTCGAATACGAAGGTACCGCTTCCAGCTCGCTGACAGATGACTGGATAATATTTGTTATTTGTGGAAGACAATTTCTACTACTTCTAATCTAATACTGTGGCCAATATCTGTTCGCTGGTGGCTGGCTCCTTCGCGCTGCAAACGAAAAAAAAAAATCAAGATATGTTTTCCTTTTTCATGTATTCGTTGGGCCGCAGTCATACCTGGTGATACCGCACGCGGTACGCACAACTGGACAGTCAGCAGCGGAGACTAGGAGAAGAAGGGAGAGAAGGTGGGATACAGACAGAGAGAGAGAGGGAGAGAGGGAGAAAAAGGCCTCTGCGCTGCTGTGTTTATTTTTTCCTGGCGTTCAATCTCGCAAGTTCCTGTCCTGGTGAACGTAAATGGGAAAAAAATCTGGAAATCTGTTGCATCCCCATGGTACGAAAAACGAAAGTTCCGGGGTATGAAAGAGAGATCTTCCAAACGGGAGACCGGTTACACATTGATATATGCGCCACCGCCATCTCGCCAGTGTACGCCTCAGACTCTCTCAGCGATATCCAACTCGTCCCCGTTCTACACTGTATGCCCAGAACACAGCTGTTGTCGTCAAAACTTGAACTTGCGGCTGGTTCCCACCACCTCTCTGCTGTCCCGCAGGTTCTCAAAAGCCCACCTGCTGTCACGTCCCACAGATCGGACCAACAGGGAACGAACTAAAGAGGGCACAAACACGGGTACAAGTACAGAGATGGCCAATCCCTACACATCAGAGGTCCCTCTCCCGGCACTGCGAGAGCACTTCGCCACGGCTTTTGTCTCATATCCCAACATGACGGCGGGAAATGCGGCGATCGAGCAGGAGTGCGCGCTGGATCCAGCGATGGCGGAGCTTCGGCAGCACCTACTCCGGCATCGCATCACCTTCTGCGTCTTTGACAGTGAGTTACGCTGTCGTTTGCAGTCGCACAACTTAGCGGCACGCTCTTCGCTACATCATCCTGTTGTCTCTCGTTGTGCTTGTCTAGCAGCAGCAGCAGTCCTACGGCAAGGACCTTGCGCGGTAAATAACTGTCATTTGTAGGAGAGCTTTGTGAGACCCCCTTTCACAACAACGAAAAACCATGCGTCGTCTCCGCACAATAATGGAGAGAGCCGCATCCCCTTCTCTCTGTCGCAGATAATCAATCGCCCGAAACTTCCTCCGTGCCTGCCTGTCGCTGCCGCACATGCGTGCTGCTTGCCCCACCAAGTGGATTTGACCGTAACCAAAATGCACACGAGAGGTGCGTTGCCTCGCGATCCGGACACCATGAGGTCCTACCTCGAATCCGGGCGTGCGACGGATGCGGTCAAGGTGAGCAAAAATCTGTCTTCCGGCTGCTGAACTGGTCTGGTTTGACCTTGACCACACGGGGTTGCATCACTATGGTATGCAAAAAAACAGGGGAGGTCGCACACAACGCAGGTAGCGCGCGGCCTTCTTGTCGGGGAATAAGTAGTCCGAGCGGCCGCAGTGACAAGTGCCATGGGGCTGCATGTGGCCGCGGCCGCAGTCGCCCAGCACGAGGAGGATGCCGAGAGGACGTCGTTTCGATTCCGTCCCCCTCGCATCTATTTGTTGAATTTGGCTCTCACCAGTTCACCAGTCCCTCGATCGTTCAACCTGCTGACAGTTCGTGAATTGGCAACTTCGAAGAGTTAAAGTTTCCACCAACACACACCCACAAGATGGTGTTACGTATGCCACACCACCATCAGATGTTGTCGGACACACCACCAGGTGTTGTCGGAGTTTTTCAGCAGCAAAGTACTATTCTATCTACCACACCTGCTGTCGCATAACGGAGTGTGCCTGCCACGCCTCTGCCACTTGGGCCACGCGACGCTGTGCTTTTCTTGTGTTCATGTGATATGCACGAAGGTCGGATAAATATGATCCGCCAACCTCACATGGGTGATGAGGGGAGCCAGCTTGTTTCAAATTCTTGGGGTCGAATGTCGTGTGTGTCTCTGCCAGCCACACCGCGCCACACCTGTGGGAGAGAAATTTTCAGCGCCGAAGAGCCCGACTATGTTTTGAGTGGAAGAAAAACACCGCAACGCCACCGTTATTGAATTTGTCCTTCATGAAATACCTTCCGATTGTTTTCAACCTACCACCATTTTCCCCACACTGCGGGGCTGCTGTACTTCTGATACTGGTGGTCGTGTACACACATCTAATAGCAGTACGATAGGATGCATGCGGCGGAACAACTGTTGAATAGGTGTATTGTAAAATGATGCGGAACAGGTCTCCGGCGTACAGCATATCAAGACAACAACAACAACAATTGGCTGTGTTTCTTGATGGAATCACAGATATACGTAGATGCCGATGCCATCCAGATAGAGACGACTCGCCCCTGTCCTTAAGTCTTGCATAAACAGCCTACTCTGTAGGCAACCGAGTTTCTGTCTTTGGGACATCATGCTCCTTGTGTTGGAAGTTCATCAACAATCTGGCGCCCTTTTGCTGGCAAGTTGCCTTCTTTCTCCATCCGCGCTTGGACCGGATGAATTTGCAAGCAGCGTCTTTGTCCGTTGGGTCGTTTTTCTAGTCCACTCGAGGCACTCGGTTCAAAGAATAGTGGCCTGTACTTCGTCCAACTTGCCCGTGCTTGTACATCACAATACATTACCCCCAAGTGTTTGACAGCGACAACAACAGTGATATCTGCAAGGAATTTCAGCGTTCTGAATTTTCGCAGTGGTGCATCGGTAGAAAAAGTAATTTTGTAGCGTGCTGAGTTTCTTGTTTGTCTTCAAACAACAAGAGGTGGGGCCCGATCGTATTTGCTTGCAGAACATGTGGGTGAGGGTTGGCTCAGCCGTGTTCGACGTTGAAGGTTGTATGCCTTTAAGCGTCCTCATAAACGGCTCGGAGCTGGAGTTTGATTGGTGAACCAGTTGATTCTTTTCCTGGGCGTCGAAAGCAAAACCTTACTTGTAACCTTTCCTCATCACAACGAACAGTGTGTGCGCAGCCAGGGCATCCGCCCGCGCGGCATTCAATCCCGCTGCTGCCGATCTAAAACCTTCTACTCTTTCGTGTGGAGGGTCCTGCTTCCCTAATTTTTTGGCGCAGATGCATCGATACGCGCACACCTCCCGTTATTGTGTGTTCCTGTCGTTCATCACTTCTTGTTGTAGCTTTTGTTGTCCCGGCTACTGTGGTTGGTACCTGGTATTGTAGCGAGCATGGCGTTTATGCACAAACCCTTCGGTGTTTTTGGACGAAACCAGCCGGGGTTCTTGCAGGGAAAAGGCCACACTTTTTTTTTTTCTCGCCCTCCCTGCCTTTTACATTACTAGCGCTGTTTTTACAGCGAGCATGGCGTTCATGCACGAAGAACCCTTCGGTGTTTTTTTACCACACCAGCCGGGGTACGCTTGCTTGCAGGGAATGCTACACTTTATTTTTTCTTTCTCGCCCTTTCTGCCTTTTACCGTACTTGCTCTGTTTTTGTCCGACAGGATAGCCCTATCCCTCGGTGGCATTGAAGTCGAGGTTTGTGTGCCCATGAATAAGGCTATCCGTTTGTTCCTTGGGTGTTGTATGACAGGACGAAGTCGCCGGTGGTGTGGCTGCTGTGACAAGTCTAACTCACGTCTGCGCACATGCTTCGCCAGGAGGTTGTTGCGATGTATTCAAATATACTTCTTCCCAGCGGCAACGTTCTACGTGGTCTCTTACTTGTTGCTCCTCATGAATGTCCGGTTCGCAAGGTCGCTTCTTTGTGACCCCGGTTTTCCGAAGTACAACAGCATGTGTTTCGTAAGCAAAACGAACGCCGTGAGCACAAGCTGTTCACGTGGTTGAGACCATACGTCTCTTCGAACGAGCGGCCGCCCACCACTCACAACAAGGTCTCGGCCGTCACGTGCGCACAAAATTTTCCCCTCCTTGTTCACCGCGCTTTCACGTGCATCTTTAAATACCTTCGTATCAAGTGTCCCCTTGACTTTGGAGGAGGTGGTATGGCGTGCAGAAGTACATCTTTTTGTCTTGTTCAATAATTTAGGATATGGACCATCATCAGGAAAAGTACGTGCCATAACCACCGCGCGCCCCTTAGATTGATTCTCAGGCGCCGGTTTTATCCACACAGTTTTAAAGGGCGCGACAAACAAGTGACACGCACAAGGAAGGCTGTACAAGAGTGATCTTTCCGGAACCACCGTTTTCGTCATTGGCAGCCTCTTGTCTGTAGAAGGTCCGTTTTGGGGCGTGTCCGATGGCAGGCACTGTTCGAGAGGTCGAGGGCATGCATGCGAGCGATGACATCGGAGCCCCCGCCGTACGGTGCCCGAGCTGTTCCGAGTTCGATTCTGACGCTCGGGCATATCGACGTTTTGTTGAGTTCGGGCCCGTCTTCCAGCCACAAATAACCTTCGAGAATCGGGGATCTACAGACTGCCGGCATTGTCCGAAGTCGTGGAGAACGTTTCCCCAAAAAATCATTTCGATTGATTTACCTGTTGCCCCCCTAGATCCACCGGTTTCTTCCCCTTTCGGCCGAAGGCATTGCCCCTACGTGACCATTCTCAACACTCTCGGAGGCTCGCGTCCCACACCCCATGCGAAAGGTTTCCGACACCCACGGAGAAAGTACTGATCTCACCACCCATGGAAAATTCGTCCATGAACTGGAGACCGCGCTCCGGGAAAACATCGTTTTCGCACACCGGATAACGCGTGAAGGCGCAACTTGCTAGCTACCACTTGCTTCAGACGGCCTGTTCTACCATAGCCATCTCTTGGATCGTTCTATCCTCGGTGTTTTTGTGTTTTGCGATGCCATTCATCAAGAACAGTTTTTTTCGCGGTGCGGGCATTTTATTTTTTTCGAAACACAGAACAATTTTTTTTTGTGGGTCATGTGACGCAATATGGCATTGTTTTGCAGTCCGTATTCCCATTACTTACATCATCGTTTGGCACGCAAGGACGCCAACCCGACTTCGTTTGTAGCATTTTTTGCTTTTGTGTTTATTAGCTCTCTCGGCTTCCACGGGATACAACCAACAGGGTCACGCGCCCTCTAGTACCGGCCGGGGTAGCTTGTCTCCCGCCGGCGGCATGCGCCCGTGGTTGTCATTCCCCTGCCAACCATCGTTTAGCCGAGGGCACGGGTGGTTTTGCACCGAGGGTTGGCTCGGTCTTGTTGGTGATTTGGGCTGTGAGGGAGCGGCAGCAAGTTGCGCCCTTCCTTCGATCTTGTCCGTGTTGGTCACCGATGTTTTTCACCGAGCGTGAATTCCGCCTTTGTTTCTGACGGCAAGCGAGGTCGCGGGGCTACTAGTCGCTTCCGGCGTTTATGTCGGGGGACCCCCGTGTGATGTGGACTCGGGCTCCGAAGATGTTCCAAGGTGGCGGGTACATTTTCGCCCCAAGATGGGGTGACAACGGTTAATTCTTGGGGGCAAATAGATTAAGCGAATCAGTGTTGACGGAACCATACCCGCGACTTGCGGATGGATACATGGCTGTGAGGCCGAGGGTCTGGTCAAACCGGCGGGCATGATTTGCGCTTTCGCTGCTGCGATTTCCTGCTAACTCATGATCTCCCCCATCTCCCGAATTTGTTTTCATCCTTTTCCCACTGCTGTGGGCCGTTTCCGTCTCGCGCCCAGACGATGAAGCTTTGCCGAGCCCTGGGCCTCACCGTCGGGATCGCGACGTTCCAGAGAGAGGTGGACGACTCGGCGCACATTGGCGGCTCGCACCTTGTCCGCCGTGTCCTCGGGGCGATCGGTGCCGGGGACCTGGTGAGCGACCGGGATGTGGTCGCCCTGACCTCCTCGCAGTACTCGGAGATGATCCGGCACCAGGAGAGCTACACCAAGAATGACATGATCCGCGTGCTGTTCGAGAGGCGGGGGGAGGCGTACTCCCCGGGGAACACCCTGCTGATCGACGACACCCGGCGGAACGTCGAGGCATTCGTTAGGATAGGCGGCCACGGGCTCCTCGTGGAGGGGGGCCAGGGGTTGATCCTGCGGAACGCGAAGGTTCGTACACGCTGCTGGTGGTAGATAGGCCCGGTGTTTTCGATTGGCTGTAACAAGCAGGCCGTGGGTTGGACGAGGTTCCATTGTTCCGTTGTTGTGGCGTTGTGGTATGTATTGTCTGTGGTCTCGTGTTGGCGTGAGCATACCGAGGAAGAGGGCAACAACAGTGTTACAGTACCGCAATTTTTCGTGTTTGTTGGATGAACCTGACGCCCTGTCGGGTTTTTTGCAACGACTCGCAATATCCCTCTCGCGCATTTCCCACTGCCTCCCTGGCTGTTCGTCGAATGTCGCTCATTCGATTAGGACCCACGCTCCTCTCTTTGATTCTCACTCCTTCTCATACCGATTTGAGGTTAGCGCTATGCTCGCTCTGAAGAGGCGCAACATATTGTCTCTAAACGTGTACGAGCCTGCATGACACCATGACACCAAGATTGCTGCTGCATATGTATGACATAATTTTACCCACACCTGCACTTGGTACGCGCGGCTAAGGACAAATAAATTCAGCTGCAAGGTGCGTTCTTTCTCCCTTCCCGACTGGGTTCGCAAAAACTGGTGGGTATGATTGACGCCGTTTTTTTTTTTGTCCGGACGCCGTTTGGGACAGGTGGTCGAGCCCAGCTGTACATTTGTGCCAGGGTTGACGTTTTCCTCGTCGGCACACCACTCTACAACAGCAACAACGTCGGCATCGGTGACCTCCCAGCACCATCAGAATGAGGGTGGTACGTATCCGGATCACCGGCAGCAGCAGCAGCAGCGTCAACACCAGCAGTACCCGCAGCAGCCTCCTCCGGCTGCAGGATATGGGTACGGGTACTACTGAAGTCGGTTTGGTGGGTAGGAGGATGGGCAGGTCGCTGCCGCGTGCGTGTTTCAATTTCGGCGGATTTTGTTGTTCCGAAACATTTAGGCGACGCGCGCGAGGGGAGTGTTGCAAAGAGGGGCGGGGTCTTGGCTGACAGGTTGGTTCGGTCGGGACCCCGACACGTTGCGTCCGGGGTATGTGCGATGTTGATAGCGCCTGGGAAGGGCCCTTGCGGTTTGAGAACCCCGACGGTGTTGGTGGCGTGTCAGGGGCGAGAGGAGGAGGAAGTAAGAGGCTTGCTTATCCACGCGGTTGGCATGTAGCGAGCGGTTCACTTCCTTGGGCGGGCGATGCGATGGGAGGGCGGAACTCCGTGGAGCGGGAGGCGGCAGGCAACGGAGCGTATCATCGAATAGCGATTGCAAGAGAGAAGCTCTCAAATTTTTCCATGTGTGTTGTTTCAAATAGCTTTAGTCGTGCTCTATACGATGCGCTGTTTCCGCCGAACGTGACCTCATATAGCATTACGTCTCTTTTCTCTACGTGTCTCGACGGTGCATACCGTCCATGCGTTTCCCCCTCTGAATACCGCTGTGTTATTTTGAATTGCCTCTCGAAGATCGATCGCCTCACGACGATTGCCAAGGGCTAGGGTTTACGGTCTATTTCTCCGAATGTTGTCCCTAGGATGAGGGAGTGAACGCTGCTCGTTGATCTGCATCACTTTTTTTGTTGTCGCCACAAGATTTCGAACGGGTTCGGCGTTATCCTTGGCGCATGAGGTTGAATCGTATTGAGCTTCAGCTTTTTAACCCTTGCCCGTCATGCGTGTCCACGACGAGAAGACGTGTTGTCGCGCGGGCCACTACCAATCCCTGCGTTGCCACTAGAGTCACACCGCATTTTGACACGCGGCTGTGATGTAGTTGAGGAGCTTCGATGCCTATTGTTTTGTTCGACATCCCCGTGTTGGCCACAGGCTGGGAGTTGAGGCCAAGGCAGCGACCTTTACTCGGGATGGGGAGGCGCCGATTGGGGTGGGGGGGTGGGTGGGGGGCCATTCCTTTTGTGTTCATTTACAACGGTATGATTCACTCGTTTGTTGTGCGTTGGTATGGTCGACAGGAGCTCTTGGTCCCTGTTGGGGGGATTCTTCAACCGTCACGATTCCTATGTCTGCTGCAAGTAGACATCGGGGCGAATTTATATTTTTCGGGGCCACAGCTTGACATCACTGCTGTCTGCAGCTAGTGTATAGTGCATTTCTCTGAGGGGTACGCGGAGTAGATGCTTTCGGCTTTCTTTGGCGTAACGAAACCGTGGGTTGGTGGCGTCCCTAGCGCGGAAGCCAGATAACCTCCGTCGGTACCCCTTCCGGCTGATGATTCTGGGCTCTTGTCCATCAACCATGCCGGTAGCACCGAGTTTTTCAGGTGTGCCCTCTAGACAGGAGAAACAGTGGCCTTCCTGTATTCCCGCCATTAGGTAGCCATTTGGAGACGTTTACGACGGTACGCCGGGTCGAATGTCACATCCGATTTTCACTCGGGTTTTGCCCCGCACGGCTTGTGTTGTGTGAGTTTTCTCGTGTGTCCCCCTCTTCGTTCATATCTTGTAATTTTGCTTCCTCTGTTGCTTTCGTTACATTCGCCGGCATGCTATGCCCAGGCTAGAGCAGATTCGGCTGCCTCCGGGGGGCTAGGGAGTTTGTTTCTGGTATGTTTTTGTTGTTGAACTTTTATTTTATTTTGTTTCATACGACCGCATGTTGTGTCCGGCCGGGAGAAGCGTGGTCTGGCTCCATGGGGCTTCGGCCTGGTGGGTCTAGCCCCTGAGAGTATTTTTTTCTTATCCTTCAAGTGGGTGTATATCGTACAACCCCGGACTCCTAGCGCCGCGTACTCGAGCAGCATTGCGCTGTCTGACCTCCCTCGATCGTTGGGCACAAAAGGACCGTTTCGACCTTCGAAGCGGCAGGGCTAGCAGCGGCGGTTGCAAGCAATCGTGAGGAGGGGAGATGAAGGCGGAGATCGCACGCAAGAAATGTTTGTAGAGTACTGCTGAAGGTACTTAATTTGAAAAGGGGTGATTCTGCGGGTTCGCTGTTGTGTGTTCTTGGTGTGATCGGGTGGCTTTTGCTTCGTTCTCTGCGCTGGTGTACTTGTCCGTCTGGAAACGGTCGTGGTTGTGTGGGGTGTGTGTTTATCTTGAAGTTTGCATCTACAGCGCTACTCGGCGGACCAATGAATGACCGACTGATTCTTTGCGGTAGCGCACACTTTTCGAGCCCGCGGGCTACTTCGACAGGTGGGCCGCGCAGGAAATTGAGTGAGTGGTGAGTGTTCGTCCAGAAGGAAGCGCCCTCCGTGGTGTCGTTACGCTCTTTTACATTGTTTGGCTCTGGTGAAGCAGGGATTGGTTTGCTCATGTCGCTGTGAAGGTGGGTGGTGCGCCACGATGGCATGAAGGCGCATTGCAACCCCTAGTGTGGGTTTTGATAGATGCTGCGATGGTAAAAAGACGCGTTGGGGAGCGCGCGGGGGGGGGAGGTGCACACATTTACCAGAGAAATAAATACTGCAAATGACTGGCCATGGCCAACGAAATACCGTGTCTGTTGCTGAGAAAGATTAGGTTGAGATGTATGATCCTGCATGACATGAGAGAGCCGAAAGAGCAGATGAAGCCAAAACTATGTATGAGGGAGCTTCGTGTGCCGGGGTCAACCAGGAGTCAACCAGGTGTAATATTGCCAGTTGAAAAGGTAGGCACGTGAGAAGATTGATGCACGAAAGGTGGGCAAGGGTGATAGTTCTGTTACTGATGAGCAGTTGTTTTGTTGGACGGAGCTTAAGATAGCGAATAGGGGTCGTGGTGATGACGCGAACGCGCCAGCGGATATGTGCAAGGTTAGGGGGATGGTGAAATTGCTGTTGTACCGTTGTGAAACGACGGACAATATAGAAGGAGAAACAACGAAGATGAAACCGCAAAAGCGTTGAAACGAACCCGTGCTTCATTTTCACTCTGTTAGCTTGTCGTGCCGACTGGGACAGAAAGAGCACGAATCTGCCCGTTTCTTATCCCCACGTGCATCTGTTGTTTCTGTCATGCCCATTTGCAAGTCTCTTCATCCATTCTTCACCATTTATGTGGTCAGATGGTTCCAGCTACAGCAGTATGTGGGGAACGAAGAACTTGATCACTTCACATCCATTCACACTGCAAGGGTATCGCGAGGTGCTTGCCGACAATATATCGCGTTGTTCCAGATGGACACGATACACACCAACACATCACGGACGAAAACACGAAAATCGTTTGGTGTTGTGGTGAAAGGCTCCAGAAGGTTGTCATCGGAGGATCGCACGGGAGACGTGAAGCAACGCCGTGACTGCTCTTGAATCTGACGGCCGGACATATGTTTTCCACGCTGCTCGGAGGCAGGTCTACGAGATGCGCGACAGTCTACTGCAAATAGGCTTCCCTCAGCTCTCAGTTCTACTTTTACATTCATAGAGAGAGCAAAACGGCTTAATGTCTCACTACACGCGAATGTATGTGAACGTCGTACGTGTGGGTACTCTGTGGGCGGATAGTCTATACCTCCGTTGACTCCATGAAGACCAAACACAAGGTGAATACACTGCCCATGACCTACCTCAGCATATCCTTGTGTTTTCGCGATTCCCTGCGAAGAAGCCCCTCCCTGTCTGCCTGGCCTACTCGCAGCGTACACCCACACGCACTTATTGCTTTCAGTATAGATAGCAGGTTTCAACACCAGGTAAGGAATGAAGAATTTGATCACTTACCGAAAAAATACAATCTAATATATATATTCTATCTTAGACTTTTTTCTATAGATAGAGATGGATTTGTTGTGTGATATTAAGAAAAAAAAAAAAAGTTTCAGAAGTGATTGTTTGCCACGACAAAATGCCCCCGCTTCTCTGCAGAGACAAGAGAGATGAGGCACACACACACACCATCACCACGACGGACGCATCACGGACGGACACCAAACATCCCCGTCGTGGTACACGGCACATCAGGTTGGTGATCAGTGGAAGATTGTCCGAGGGAGAGGAAAAGCAACGCTGAGGATTGTTCTTGGGCAACCCATCTCACGGCGGCGAACCACTTTGGTTTCAGGTAGTCCCAGTCTTTCGGAGGTACATTTCTGCTGTAGGTCCTCGAACGGCGAGGCAGCTTAAGCGCACGGCCCGCTAGAAGCACATCGAAGCGTGTCAACGGATGCAAAGAGAGGGTCTAGCACGCAGAGAGCGGGTTTACGGCAGAGAGGATCAGCGCAGAGTGAAACGTATCAGCAGAGAGGAGCAGCGCAGAGTGAAACGTGTTTCCAAGTGAATTAGAACAGGGTGCAGTTGGTATGTGCATGTGAGTTCGAGAACCACCTGCTCTGCACAACCAACAAAGAAGGCTCGTTCTTCACAACATCCAACGTGTTGCTGCTGGTTTGAGGTGTGCAGTTCACACGTCGGCTATCCTCGAACGGATATGAGCGAAAGTGGCAAGACTGCTCCTGCTGCTCCTGTTAGCCGGGACGAGAATGAGACCCTAGCCCAGCTCCCGCTGTTCGCCTCCAGCTTGGCGGCCAAAAGAGGACGAACATACGCGCGTCCCGCCAAACCAAGGAGTCGCAGCAGGACCACCACCAAGAAGGAGAACCGTCGAATGAGCAAGAGCTCGAGCAACGAAAATAGCTCAAACAGCAAGCCGAACAGCAGGAGCAGCTCCAGAAACAGCAGCAGCATCAGCAGAAGAAGCAGCAGCGGCAGAAGCAACAGAGGGTCGAGTGATGCGTATGAGGTCCCCCGATGCGCGCTGTGAGTGTGCCTCAGTTATAATCGTTCTTGCGGCTATGCCGTAGATTGCATCGTCGATTGGATGTGATCTTCACACGACGAAGGGAAAAAGCAAGGATGCATTGCATTGTGAACCAGCGCCTAACTCTTGGTGCCGGCGTCGCCTTTGTCACCGATCCTTCTCTCTTTCTACTCAAGTAACGGATTATTTTCGGGCGTTCGGGCAAGTGGGAATATTCCCTCCACCCTCAGAGCCGGATTAATCGATTCGGGATGCTACTCTGTGGTTCAAGGCGACAGTGAGAGAGACAGGGATATGGAGACAGACGAACTGACATTGCAGCGTGGGTGGAGAAAGAGAGAAACAGGGGGAGAGAGAGAGAGAGAGCGAGCGAGAGAGAGCGAGAGACAGAGAGACGGAGAGAGAGATAGAGAGACAGAGAGAGAGAGAGACAGAGAGAGAGAGATCAACACATTTCTCGACAGTTGCACATTCAATCCTAATAATATTGCAGCCCCAGAGTCGCTCAACAGACCAGTGTAGGGAACCAAGGCAACACCAATTAGTTCGTCGACGAGTTGGTTGCATCTTGATAATGGATGCTGATGTCCCTGACCAAGCCACAGAATACTGCAGCAGCAGTGAATTACTCACTCCACCTTCTTTGCCACACAACACGTATACATCACAAACTTTTTACTGCCTGCATGTCAGATCACGGCAGCTGCAGTGAATAGCCCACTCCACTTTCTTGACCACACAAGTCTACATCACTAATTCTCTGCCTGTACGGGCGGATTTACCCCTGATACATGCAGGCAGACACTGGGTGGCAGCAGTGGCAGCGGTACGGCCGGGCCCCTCAATGGAGGCATGTTTCAGGCCCAGAACTCCCGTCCGGCGAGCAGCAAGAGCAAGGCCACGCTGAAGAAGATGAAAGGCTACGGGGGGAAGCTGTTTTACGACAAGTGAGGCAGTCAAGGGTTGGTTCCATGTTGTTAAAAATAGGGGCGAGTGCCATGACGCACCCACCGCATTCACACTGCTACTGCTGCTGCCTTCTGCTGCTGTCGAAACAGGCTATTTCGAAAAGGTGGTCTTTGTTATGACACGCCCAAAGGTAGCTCGAGGCTAGAATAAACGAGGCGACTGTTGGAAAGAACGCTTTTTTGGCAAACACTGTAAAAGAACTGACGAAGAGGAAGAGAAAATGGGAATGTTGACCCTGCGGGTGCTGCTGAAGGGACTTGTCGAAAGTGAATACCTCCACAAACATACCCGCCCATAATCGACAGGATTGAGTGCGTGCATGCTATGAGACGAAGTGCCGTCACATTCGGCGTGTCACGACGGGCTGAACACACTACGTCCCACCAATAAATCGCAACCCTTCTTGTTGCGTTCACTACAGGAGTGACTGCAATCACTGCTGAGTGAGTCCCTCCCTCCCTCTCTCCATGCTTCCTCCCTTCCTCCATCCCTCCCTCCCTCGCTCCCTACCTTCCTTCCTTCCTCCCTCCCTTCCTCCCTCACTAGCTCCCTCACTCCACCACTCCACAACTCCACCACAACCCGGCAACTCACTCACTCACTCTCCGGCACGGTGCAGGTGCTACCTCAGTAGCAGCGACGATGAGAGAGGCAGCGATGGCACGCCAGATGGGAAGACAACACTGCCGTGGGAACTTTCAACCCCCGAAGACGGCGGTGGAGAAGACAATGGCAACGATGCCGACGATTGTGCCCCGGTGAGGAACGTTGCAGAGAATCAGCCGCCGAACTCTCGTTCCTCATTTCTCATTGACCGACCGGGTGCTTGATTTTGTGTATGCAGGCACGAGCTACCCATCTGTATTTCACAAGCGGTCATCACCTCGATTCTGGTTCCCGCGGGGGGGTGGTTCTTTTGGCGATTCACTTCCTTCCCCTCTCTCTCGCACTCGCTCTCTGCCCCTCTATCTTCTTGAATGATACTGTGGCAAAAGGCCAAGAGGGCAAAGACGAAGGCTGCGATCGCTTCGTCTATGGCAACTATTCCCAAGAAGAAGCCCCTCCATATGGTGTCGTCCACTTCGAGCGTCCTCGGCAATGGCAGCAGCAGCAGCCGCAGTAGCAAGAGAGGTGGCGCCACCGGTGGCGGCAGCGGTAGCAATCGCGGCAAGGTACGCTGAGTCCCCGTGGCTCACCGCTTCACCTACATAGTGAGTGAGTCTCGCATGTGATGGCATGGTAGAAAGCCGCCGTCGTAGACACCATTGGTGGGGTGAAATTCGAAGTGAGTGTTGTTGAATGAGGTGGTGTTCTTCACGTTTGTTGGTTGGGTGCCTGGTAGGCGAAAAGGTCTCCACGTACATGAAGGGGGGGGAGAGAGAGTTTGTTGTCTTCAGGTACATGTACTTAGGGTATGGCGTGTGCACCGCAGTGCCGAATGTGTTCGTGTTTGTCCGTACGATACGTATCTCCAACATGTTCAAATGTGATTTTTCAGTATTGACGGTTGCATTGTCTACATATAGTCCGAAGTACTTCGTAGCAGTGGTGCGGTAGATTTCAGACCGTGTGAACGAGAATACCGAAGATACAACAGCTTCGATGTGGGGAAGGGTTTAGCTGAGCGAGGCAGGGTGCAACCTAATGAAATGTTCAGTATCTCCGACCAATGAAGGGGGGATGGGCAGTCAACGAGGTTGTTGTTGCAGTATCGGCTCCAATATTCTATCCCATTGTGAAACGATGAGGGACACAAGACATTGTATGTAAAGACACAGACTAGGTATGAATACGGGGGGGGGGGGGGG